GCTGAACTTACTCCTGATAGAAGTATAATATGCTTAATTTCACTTGAAAATCTTGTTTGAGTTTAAGTATTGCAGTTTTCAATTATTCTGCCCTCACTCTCTATGAAGTGATAATTAGGCATTAAAAGCTAAGTGGATTACTGTGGAGATCTCTCCTGATATCCATTTAACACTTAATCAGATCTTAATACTATAAATTATGCATTTCTCAGCAGTATTCAGATTCTAATAAATTTTGTAACAGTTTGGAGGTACTAGTTTTTCTTGACCTCATTGTGGCAGTGAAAAGTTGTAAAGTTTTCTGTAAAAAGTCACCTGCTATAACAAGACCAGATTTATCCCAAAACAATTCCTTTAGCCCATCTGACTGTACTAATATTTATTCATAAGGGTGTCTTGGACAAGACAATGTTCTCAATTCCAACTTTGTGAATAACTATGAAAAATATCTTCAAACTCTATATTAAGGTGGAGTTGAAGCTCTTTCCCCAGCTTTTTTTTTCCTCCAATTTTACCTTCCCGTCCTTAAGGAAAAAAAAAAAAAAAAGAGGGAAAAAAAAACACTTCTTAGAAGATAGCATAACTTGCTAGACACATTCAATTGATTTCCCAGTGAAATATCTATATATTGTTTAGCATTTCTTTTTGCCAACTCATATCAAGCAGAGCGATATTTTATAACTTTGGTGCTGGTTCAATGCATACTTTTATAAAGATATTAACCATAATGGTATATCCCCAAATATATGGATGCATTTAATTAATGTCAAGACAAAGTGAGCAAATCAAAATACTCTAAATGTAAGATCCAGTTGTCCATACATGGCCACATAATGTTTCATATTGCACTATTACAACAAACATCAAGAAGTATCTAATTTCCTGATGCTTATACCTTGTTAAATTTCACAGCAATCTCATGCTTCATATTTTCATTTTAAGCTTTTTAAGTCAGTAAGCTTTGTAATTTATGGTAAAATGCACTTCTACTTGTTAGAAAAATCATCTATGTTAATACTGGGCTATTTTGGGTTAAGGAACAAAGTAACAAATCAATGTTAAATGTTTGTAGAGCATACTGATCAGCCTCTCTTTGAGATTGTATATGTACAATATGTACTTTGAGATTGTATATGTACACCTGCTGGCACAAATCAGAGATTTTTGGCCCCCTAAATCACAACACTGAGGCTATAATAAGTATATTCCTGCTTACTCTTATAGAAATCCATAAAAAGTAAGCTTTAATCCCTAGTTTGACACTCCATTCCAGCTTATCAAAAGATACAAATATCTTCTTTATATTCTTAACAATTTTTGTAACATTAGTTCATGTCTTTGGCTTTTGGTCATAAGGAGAGCTGATTAAATTTTTTAAAATCACAATTTAAAATGTAAAATGAAATTAAAATTAAAAATTCTGCTATATGAAGAATTTCAAATAGAATGCTTTTAACTCTTCACAAAGAAAAAATATATTGTCTGATTAAACAAAGAAGCAAGTAATTGCCTAGTGAAATCACAACAAGGATTATCAGAGACAGATGTAGACTATATTTTTCCTAGCTGAGGAAAGAGTCTGGAAAAGAGATAAAGAAAGAATATATATATATATATAAAATAGAATCAAAGCAATCATGAGTAGAGATAAGGAAAGGGAAAAAAAAAGAACAAAAGTTTTACACCTATTTCAGATAATTATTTCCAATGAAAACCCTTCCCCTTTGATCCCCAGCCTAAAATTGTTTTTTAATATTTATAAGGATCTGTCTGAGATCTGCATGGCAGAGTTTATACTGATCTTTTCCCATATAAATAGAGCTTAAGTTGTTGGAAACCTTGCACACAAGGATTTTACGTTCTAACTAGCATTCCAGCAAGATAGTTTATTTTCACTAATAAATTTCACTATTTCACTAATATTAATATGATTCAGTTATTTTTTTTAAGAACATCATTTTCATTGTTAACCTTCTTAGGATTTTTTTTATTCCCCAGGAGAGTTTTGCGAGTTGCAAGCTGATAACTGTGGTTCCAACTCATGTGAAAATGGAGGAACATGTGTTAACTATGAAGACGATTATAAGTGCACCTGCCCCATAGGTAAGTCATTGGAAATTTATTGTATATATAAAACATCACTAAAAATGTAACCTAAATAGTTAATTTGAATCTCATTATGCAAAAATAGCAATATATCTCAGTATCTGTAGTTAATATTTTTTAGGAAAAATCTCTTTTGATGCTTTGTTTAGGAAATAAAATTGCCAAATTACTCTATTAAGCTGATGTTAACTGCCAACATCATGAGCAGACACAACGTCAATATACATGAATGAACTGTGATTAAATATTCTCTTTGTGGTGCAGGTTTTGCAGGTGAAAGATGTGAACTGGATATTGACGTCTGTCTACTCTACAATATAAGCTGTGCCCCTGGAGCACTATGCATGGATAAATCTCATGGATTTAATTACACATGTTTATCACCATGTATTGGAAACACAGAGGTAGGATAAAGTGATATATTCACCCCAGTGCTTTCTGGAAATCAAACAAGTTATTCTACAAGCTGTGAGCTGATAAAACCTAATTTCCTATGGGTTACCTAAATACTCTATTTATACTAATTCTATTTTTATGATATCTTTCTTCTCTCCTGACTAACACATACATCCAAGAGTGCCCGATGTGAGTAATCTAGTCATTGTCAGACAAATCATATGATGTCTGAGCTCTGCCTGTCTTACTCTTTGAAGGTTTACTCACTGATGCTGTCTTCTGTCTCCTGCTTGCTGGTGTTATGTTGGGAACCTTGTAGGAACTTAAGGCAAGATTTGCTTGAAATGTTTTGATGTGTTTAAAAGTGTTAGAGAAGCAGCTGATGATGCATCAGGGCACAGAAAGCCTTATGACAAAAGCATCACTTCCGTTGAAAAACAGTGAATTAAACAACAACAACAAAACTTAAGCGACACTATACTGCAATGCCAGCTAAAATGCTGAGAAGTTACAAAATCCCAAATTCTGCTTGCTGATTACTAAAGTTTTCACAAATATGGTATTGAATTTGATTTTCACATATTCAAAATATTTTAGAAATCCATGTTTTAGGTACCGATAATGCTTAGGCCAAAATAGCATCCATTGTACACTCAGATTTCTTTAAGAACTTGATTTGTTGCATCCTTCTTGTTTCCATTCAGCATCCTATTCAATTATATTGCTGGTTTGGGTAAGATTAATTCACACCGGGGAGACTACAGATACAGGCCCTGGAATTATTGAGATTTCAGTACTGGACAGAGTAAAATACTGTGGCATTTTTTCATAATAATTGTTATTTTAAAAGCTATGTACACAATGCTATATACCCCTTTCAAACAGCTGCTCAAACATGATAACCAGTGTTTCAAAGGCTTAATCAATTCTTTTATTGAAATATATTCACCATAAGAATATACTATGCAGAACAAGCAATGCATTTACAAAGAAGCAATCTACATTTATGTCACCTTGAAGTCTAGGGGTACCTACCAATGAAATATGAATTGTGACACAGGATTACCTACTACCTCAAAGGTTTATATTTAAATTGTTTTGCATATGGTAAATTTTAACATTTTTAAGATTTAAAGTGTCATACTAAGTGGAAGTTTACTGTACATGGTATAATATTATAATACAATAATCATTATGTCTAGTTAGGATAGGAATTGGTGCTGTACTGAGAATGATGATGGGAGCTACTAAAACATTTTACTAAAACATTTGCTTAAAAGCTTTTGGCCATATCTAATATATTCATATAAACAATATATAGAGCATCATACATTTCATGTGGAATATATATATATACCCACACATATGTATTTACCTGTATATACCTATATACCTACTACATGAAATAGTTTTGCCAGAATGCGAATAATTATTAGATTTTCTGAAGGAAAAGGGAATAAAACCTAAAAGGAAGGCTATGATATAATTGGGTTTTATTTGTTTACTTAGCCCACAGATCGTTAAAGTAACTTCTTTTTTCAGTTATTGAAAAAATAATGCTCTTATTCAACAAAAAAGGATATTTATTTTTGTAGTGTAAATAATAATGTGACATTAAATTTTTCTATTAGCTAGTAAATTACATAATTCATTAGGCATTTAATATATTATTTGATTCTTTTTGGCTGGAAAATTAGTATATATTTTTACGTTCTTCCTTCATTTCTTTTCTGAACTGTTTTATCTCCACAGAAATATGTTGGTGTATCCAGGACAAAAGACTGAAAAGAATGCTAGTATTTTTAATATTTTCTTCATAAAAATGCAAAAAAAAGTTGTCAGTAATTGTTGTATCTTTAATAAACATAATAGTAATGTTTTTCTCCCAGCACAATGCTTTTAAAGAAGTAAAGTTACTGTTCTTCAAAATAAATACAAAGTAATTAAAGAAATACTAGTTCATTAAAAAAGGACTCCTTAATGATTCGAAATCTATTATTAACTTTTTAACTATGAAATGCCTACCTACCTTGCACCTAGGATTATGAAGAACCTCAAAATAAATTACATTTCTGGTTTCCTTTTTGGAATGACTTCCAGTAATGTCAGATTAATTCCAGAATGTAACCACTTGGTGTTATAATATAATTTGTCTTCTCTTACATACTCAGGGTTATGTCACATGAAATAAAGAAAATATCATTGCCCCAGTAGAGTATAGGAGATAAGTTACAAAATTCAACATTTTCATTAGCAAGAAATTCACAGAGAACTGATTACAGTAATGGTAATGAGTAACTTAAATCCAGCATACTAGGCATTGATTCAGTAGGCAAGGGAGGAAATGTTGCTCTAAAACCTCCTGCGTGCCAGTCTTATAACTAAAGAAATAGACTAGTGGGTTAATTAGAAATGTAAATATTTCTAAAGAAAAAAACAGAGAGTGATTTAGTTCTATATTATTGTGTTGTACAACTTTAATGAATACTTTTGTTATAGAAAGTCAGATCAAATCAGCGGAAATATGAGTTCAGTGAGTTAGCTGAGTTTAATTCTTTTGCTAACAGAAGAATTAAAGACGTCTTTGGAGAGTATAGGTTAGGGGACAGCTAAGAAAAGGTGTAGTATCTGAAATATTTTTAAATCGTATCAAAATTGTGATCAAAGCTGGTAACTTTTTTTTTGTCATTTTATTAGTGAACTATCTATGTATTTTTGATTTCCCAAATTAATTTAGTTTTTTGATGACTACAAGCTGTCAGCTCCCACAACTCAAAATTGTTTTTTTCTTGAGGAGAGATTTACATGATGTCCATAGAACAAAGCTGTTTTTCATAGCCTGTGGCTCTACCTCCAGAAAATTATCTCCTTCAACAGAAGGTAGTGAGTCCAGCAAAGAGCTGCTAAGATGAAGAAGGGGCTAATGCATTGCTTATATGAGGAATGGCTAGCAGAGTTGGGCCTGTTCAGCCTGGAGAATAGTGAGGACAACATTTTATCAGTATGTTTAAATGTTTTAAAGGAAAGTGTCAAGAGAATGGGGTCAGATTATTTTTCAGTGGTGCCCAGCCAGGTCAAGAGGCAACAGGTACAAACCGAAACACAGGAGGTTCTGTTTGAACATGAGGAAAAGCTTTTATTCTGTGAGAGTGACAGAGCACTGGAAGAATTCTCAGAGAGGTTGAGGTTGAGAGGTTGTGTAGCTTCCATCGTTAGAGAAAAGCCAGCTGGACGCATTCTTATGCAACGAGCTCTAGGTGACTCTGCTTGTGTAGGGGCGTTGGACTGGGTGATCTGCTTCCAATTTCAGTCACTCTGTGATGTGTAAACTGAGTCACATCAGGAAAAAGAATTTTTAGCATTGTAAAAGGGGTCTAAATCACAGAATGAGTCTTTTCAGTTGGTATTTCAAAACTCCTAATTTCCTTTTACAGTTACAGCCAGCTGGACTATTGAGATCTACTTGCACAATTTATTTAAAAGTTATTATATCTTTTTATGAGCTGAATGATCCCAAGTTACCCTGTTTTATTTGCAGTTAGGATTACAGTTCCCATTTTTTGTATGACAATATCTGCTTGCTCAGTGCATAGCTTATTCAGTGATAAAGGGCCTGCTGTTTAGAGAAGTTGTCCTCGTCCTGATATTGGTGTGCTGTTTTGCTTTATGCAAACTCTGGGTCACATTTTTTGATCTTTAAAAGTGAGGTATTCACATCAGTCATGCAACAGTGGTATAAATAAAGCATGCATGCTCATGTTGTTTTCTTTGCACTTGATCTTTGGAGATGATTTCATTAATATTTTCTGTTCTTTGTACTGCAGTAATTTACAAAGATGTACTTCTGATTTATCATAACTGTTTTTATTGAATAATGCTACAAACCATTATATTTGTGAGGTCACTAATTGAGGTGATAATTTAGAGAAATAAAAAGTAAAAATGTCAGACGTTATTTAATGTAAGGCCTCTTACACTGCAATTTAAGTGTCTTTAATAAAAAGAAAGTTTCACATAAATGAGACTCAGTGCTCTGCCCTTTGAGGCTAAAAACTTTTTCTAGTCAAAAGTGTTTGGAAAACCTCTGTTTATTTTATTCTTAATATTGATCAAAACATAACAAGTATGAAACTTTCTACTATGCCTTATTTTTGAATTATGAAGTGGAGGAGGAAAGAAGTGCTTAAAAATCAAACTAGAAATTTGTCAATAAAGCTTTTCCAATTAACCTCAAGGCTGTCCCTGCAAATAATTCTCTTCTCAGCAAATCTTTGTTGCTGGTAATACACAGCTTGACTTGTAGATTAGAGGTTGACTTTGCAGTTCTGACATATTGCATATACTACACTGATAGTGTGAATTAAACAGATCTGATATGATTTGATAAAACGGCTTGTGTGTGCATGTATTTCTGTCAATCTGTTTAGTGAACTTATACTCAAAGACAACTGTGGACCTCAGATCTTGACTGTGTTTACGAGACATACTTGTACCTTAAGGTAAACTTTTTAACTTTCAAATAAGAGTGAGGATACTTTTATGATTTACATGAAGATTGTTCTAAGAACCTTTATGCTAAAAATTGATGGAGGTAGTCTTTGTAACGTTCATGATTTATCTTTGAGAACTTACGCAGGATAACTGAGAAAATTAGGAAAAGACAAACACTACTTACATATCCAAAATGCATGCATACATACATATATTCAGAAATAAATACCTTCTTTGCTTATTTAAAGGAAAGTGGAACTATAATCAATCTATTTAAAATTTCTGAAGAAAAATGTGGAACAAAAATGTTATTTGTAAGAAAGTAAGAGAAAGAAAAGGGAGGAATGATACCCAAGAACTGCCAGGAGTGAAACACTGCAAGCTAATTTGATTTCCCACTAAAACAGGAATAGAAGCAAGAAAAGTGAAAAGCTTTTTCTCACATAGGATTCTCATAAGCAAGCTTGTGAAGTAATGCATCCGTTCTGGCTTGATGCAAAGCAGCTAAGATAGATAGTCAAACTCAGTAGCTTCCTTGGCCCAAAGGAAGAATATATTAAATAGTGTTCTACAAGGGCCTGACCTGCTTCCATTTCCACTCAGTATCTTCTTTTTTAATGATGAAATAGATTACGCTTAATGAAATTGAATATGAAGCCAGCTTCTGACATTAAAATGCTAGAATTCAAAGCAGTATTAAGAAGCTGGACAAATTATCTGGAAAAGTATAGTGTAATTCAGTGTGTACATTTTCCAAAGAACATATAATGTTCTTGAAATTTGGGATTGTAGTGAAGAATCAATCTCTGTATTAAGAAAATTAATGTCTCATCAATTATTAGTGCCAGTAGGCATTGCAGGTGTGATTTTGGATACTGAACAATAAAGCCCCCTGTAAAAATATTTTTCCTTTATGGTCCTTTTTCTATGTACTTTTTAGAAACTGAGTTTATAATACCTGATACACTTACAGATTGAATCAAATAATACTTTATTTTCAGGAGTAGCAAAATAGAATAAAAGGAAACATACTGAAATTAAGTCTGCCTAAATAAGGAGGAGTAACCTGTTTTCTAGAAACCATTAAAAGCATCAGATTCTGCTCAGAGACAACGTAAGCAGCTCAAGTATTTGATCCACAACAAATTATTCAACAGCATAAGACATGTAGGCATAAGTTAAATCTGCAGGCAGGTAAATTTGGCAAAGTGTGTAGTACCTGTTGTACTTTTATATTTCTTATTTTCATAATTTGCTCTGATCTTTCCAGCAAATATTTCTTGAAATTCTGATTTTTTTGTGTCATTGCTTTGGTATGTGAGGTGGAATTTTGTAAAAGAAAAATATTTTATATGCTTGCTTAGGAAACCACCAGTTCAGGAGGGAATACCAGGCAGATAACTGAAATTACAGTGCTGGAAGATTTTGAATATCCAAATGCAGCTGGACTTGCATCAACGATGCCTGAAGTCTGTAGTAATGTGATATGAATGAAATGTAACTTTCTCGGGAGTAACTACCTTCCTTGCTATAACAATATACCCTGTTTGATGTTAGAAACGAAGTGATTCATCATATTTTTTGTCATGACCATATAATAAGATATGCTTGTTTTAGAGTATTTGCAGTTGAAAAGTGTGATGCTCAGACTGACCAATACAGTCTTTTTTATGGTCTATTAAATCATAGTTTTTAATTTAATTGTAACTATGGGGAAGATTTACTTTGTGAAGAAGAAAGAGCTGATTGATGGGAGGATGCCACTTTTTTTTTCCAAAAGGCAGTCTGTCTATTTTAAGAGAAATTTAAAAGTATTTCTTGCATAAAAACCTCAAAACTAATCTACGGGTAGAAACGTTAGAAAACTACTAGGTCTTTAATTTGATTTTAAGAATATATTAACAAATCTATTTACCATAATTTCTTATAAAGTTCTTTATTGTTCTAACTCAGACTTTTCAACATTCAAACAAACAGGGAATTGATTTTACAGTAAAGCTAAAATCTACCTGATGATAGAGAAAACTAACAATTTCATCTGAGGCTAAGAATTTCCTCCATAGCTTGAATTTAAGATTTGAAGTTGCTTAGGATTGCACTGAAATCTGTTAGCTTTGTGATTTGTTGCCTAGCTTTGTGATGCATCTTTAGGATTTAAAAACACTCTTCACAAGTTTGCGATTGGGTTCCACTGTTCATCTTCTCATAATTTCTAGTCCTACAATGGACCCACTGAACTCAAGCAGATCTTATAAATTTATGATGCATAAATTTATAGGATCATGCTTTTGATTTGGAGAGAATCTTGAAAGACCACAAGCAATCCATGCATAAGTAAAAACAGCTCACAGCTAAACCTGTGGGAGTTGAATGTACTCACATCTGAGATTAATTTTTGCTTGCATTCCACAACCCCAGGTTATGAAAGTAAATGCTAATGTTATCTCAGTCGAGGTACATAGAAATATCAATATGCAAAACAGTTTGATAAAAGAATAATTAAATCAGTGTTACCTAGATTGGACTATAAACTTCCTTGGTTTATTCAAATTCTGAGAAAAATAGTAAGCCTCAGGTAAAAATCACTGAAAAAAAAGAATGTTTAAATAGGAAGGATACATAAAAGTCAGAAAAGGGAATATTTCCAAAACTACTCACAGGAGTTTTCTTCTGCATTTACACTGAGCAGTTCTTTTCTTAAAGAATTGTCTTTCCCTTCTTTTCTTAAAGAATTGTATTTCCCTATTGGGAAAGAACCCTAAGATAATTCTAAAATTTTCTACTGAGAGCATAGCAAAAACTTTCAATTTTAAGGTCAATTTAAAACTTAATCAAAGACAAATGAATATCAGAGGAATTCTGGCAAGAACTGTTATTATTACAAATTTTAATGACATTATAAAGAGATTCAGACTCAATCAAACTGAAGTACTAGTGCATTAGCTCATCTTCTATACACCATTTTCTTTAGAAACCAATTGATTAGAAGGAGAAGTCTTAATTGCTTTGAGATGAAAATGTAGTTATCCATTTTAAACTGGAAAAAGTATTATGAAAATGGAGCTTAAAAGTAAAATACAGAAAGGAAAAAGAGAGCATTCCCACTTTGAACTTTCTGAAACGTTTGAAACATAGCATAGATATAATGTATATATTGGAATACAAAGAATTTTGAAATTCTAAATAAAGGTCGGAATATGTGGTAAAGCAGAGTCATGATTGGAATTTCAAAATCAATGAATATTTTTTTCTTAACAAGAAATTAAGTTAAATTATAACCAGATTTCAAAAACAGTGCTATAGTTGTTCCACTCTTTCTTTTAATGGAAAAATAACACGCTAGATCACTATCACCCCTCCAAAAAATAAGCATATTTTAAAGTCAATTCTGAGAAATGTCATTGTTAAATTGCATCATAAAGTACTCTTTTTCAGTTAAAAAACAAGTTAAAATGTTGATTTAATGGTGTTTGGTATTTTACATTTGGCATATGTCTATTAGAAGACAAAACCAGCAAGTATCTCTATTTATCACTATCTCTTTGTTCATCTGGGAAAAAAAATGTACATATATAAATTTCTCTATGCATATGTGTAATTCTGATCTTCAGGCTTGTGCAAATGGAGGTAGCTGCTTCTATGATGAAGAAAACCAGAAATCTCACTGTGTCTGTGCTCTTGGATGGACTGGACAAACATGCCAGGAGAATATTAATGACTGTGAGATAAATCAGTGCCAACACGAGTCTACGTGTGAAGATGGAATAAATAAGTACAGGTAAAAACACAATGTTTTCCATACATAGAGGTTTATGCCTTGTGAAAATAGCTGAAAATATTTTTTTCTCTCAACAAGAATCACAATGTTTGCTATTTGCTATTTCATTACTATCTTCCTCAGATTTTAAATGTCACAGATGCTAACTTTCAATAAGTATGCACATTCACTAACATAGACTGTTTCGTCTGAAGAAAGATCTCATAAATATTCTTTGCTGGACAATGAGGCTAAAACCAACTTTGTGAAATCTCAGATAAATAAATCATCTGTTCTAGTAAATGGTAAACACTTTAGGGGCATAGAATGTGACAGAGAGTAATTTTTCTTATTAAATCCTGATACAAAATTCAAGTGTATAACTGAAAAGCTGAGTTATTTATGGGGTTTATTTGAGGTATTGACAAACTGTCAAATGTGTGCTTTCCTTAGTGAGCTGTAACATGCCATAGATATTTGAAAATAAGACTTAGTAAGAAAGAATAAATGGAAATGGAAATGGAATGACTCTTTGAACATGCACAGTTCAACTGTTCTTACGAGACCTGAATATTTATTTCTTTCCCCTACAAAAAAAAAGACCAACTAAAATATCTATATAATGTCTGTGAATGTATTTTGAATGCCTGAATTTTTAGGTTGTCTCCTATGCTTAGAGGCCCTGTAATTAATATGCTGCAGTGTATATATTTATAAAGCATGGCAACAGTGGTCAGTTCCATTAAAACATAAATAAATAAATAAACAAACTCCCCCATCTCTGGTGTTCAAGGAGCTTCTGTAAATAATAGCTGGACTCCTCAAATAAGCATACAAATACAGATAAGTATATGATTCCCAATATCGCAGAGTTCAAAGAAATTGTTGCCACATAGTCTTTGCAAAATATGTATCCTTTGTTTTGCTAGATTGCAACCAACTCTTTTTTCAAAGCACTGGGCCATATTTTAACATTTTCTTTCACAGATAAAATTGTGTTTTTCCCATCTGTATCAGAGAAAGAATTATTTTAGAAGAACAAAGATGTGCTGACCTTACAAAATCCACTAGCTTTTGTCAGGAAATGAGTAGATTTGAAGACTTCCAGGCAGACAACACCTGTTGAATTTAGCTTCCTAATCCAAATTCAGGCGACTAACAGAAAACGCTTAATTCCTACCTTTTTACTCTTTGAAAGGTAGATTATTTGGACAGGTCAGTCTATTCATTTGAGGAACATTAAAACATGCCATTGAGGTCCCCCGTGTCACCCTAGACATGCGAGGTGACAGGTTTAAGGGAGAACCTGACCCCACAGAAACAAGCATGAGGTACTTTGAAAAGATATTCAGCAAAGCAATTATGGTATAGTACGGGCTCTGCAGATGGAGAATTTTCTCCAGTTTCTCCTCATTACACTGTTGCCATCAGCAGCATTCCTGATGATGACTGACTTGCGTTCATAGGCCCGCTAACCACATCCAATTTGGCCAAGTCTGCAGCACACCTAAGTGGCTTATTCTCTTTATACTCAATGCCAGCCCACACATATACAAAAGCTGCATGGCTGTCATCAGTAACAGCCTGCACATCAGCAAGTGTCTTTGTGCTTAGCCCACTGCCCTGCTTAGTGTGTAGCAATGCTCAAATTAGCAGGTGGCTTCCACAGCACCCAGATATCCATGGCATGGACCTGTGGCCTGTCATATAACAGTCAACTTGCAGTTTCATTCAAGCTCCGCTACACTGTTGGTGTGAAGAAGAAGAGGGAATAGAGATAAAGCTATGGTCCAGACTAAGCCTCATGTTCAGGTGCATCACTTTTTCCACTTTACAGTTTTGTCAACTATGGTGGAAAGCTCAGTGAGAATAGATATTAAAAGCAACATAGTCACAATAAAAAGTCTTGGGAATTTTACTGCTTGGTTTAGTGACCTTTCTGTTACAACTAAAGTGGTCTCAATCAGACTCACGCAAAGCCACTTTTTAATTCAGATGAATCAGTGTACTTCCAGCTGAGCCTGTGCTGTTTGAGATAGCTTAATGGAATTAATCAGCATACATTAAAAGTGATATGTCATTCAAAGAGATACTACTTCTGGGCTAAGGATGTCTCTATAGATAATACAAACCTGCTGGTTTGTAGCAACTGCATCTACACACTTCAAGGAATGGTCACATATATCTAGGGGAAAAAACAAAAAACAAAAACAAAAACAAAAAAGAAAAAGAAAAAGAAAGACAAGCATCATTATCTTGCTAAATATGGTTGCCACATATAAAAGTGTTTTAAATCTCCCTTTGAATATCAACCTGCATCTTTCCATTATGTTCCCTGTAGAAGAAGAGAGAGAGAAATTGTTTAGGACTTATTTAGCATGGCCTAAGGAGGAGTATTTAATGAATAATTAAATAAAATGTAAGATCCCTCCAATGAGTTGATTGCTCTGTTTTAAAATTAAAGGAGGATTTTATTAGTCTGTTTTCTTCACCTTTATAGATTGATTTTGTGTCAATGTTAAGATTTTGGTAATTGAGATCCTAAATGAAATAGTTCCTAAAGGAGACCTGATTTTATTTTGTCTAGTAAAGAGGAGCAATAGAGAGGAAAACTAGAATCTATAATTCAATTTAGTTTCAATTAGCTATCCTGTTTCTTCAATCCAGTTCATTCAGATAAGGCTTACACTTATCATAACCCCAGGGAAGCCCAAAAAGAAAGACTGGAAACTATTAGATTAATTCATCTGAAGGAACTGTGTTGAAAGTTTTACTGTTGTTGCAATTATTGTAAAAGGTTATGATAAGCTATATATATTAAAAATATATCTTCCTCTGTAAGTGTACCTGTGAGGTCAGCATTTCATAAAGTTTCATGCAGGAAAACCTCCCATAAAAAGGCTAGTTTGATGCAGAATAAAGCTTGAATCACTTGAATCACCCACTCATTTTTTTAGCATACTTGACTTTTTCAGTATAACTATACAGTGTGTATAGTTTAAATATACTTCACTAGGATACTAGAGTAAAGCCCTACCTAGTGATAAACTGTTAAATAGAGCAGTTTAAAATATGAAATATGAAACATGATGCCATCAAGATTATGAAAAGTAAACATATTCTAGATAGGTTTAGAATGGCATGAAATCAAAAGCTACTATTGCTTTATTCCTCCTTGACTTTTTATCTTTTCTACTAGCTGAGTAAATTAAGCTGTTTGATTAGATTCTTTTTTTCATTATAATTTTCATCTTCAAGTTTATTCACTCTGTAGTACATATGCAATTTGACTGCAGGACATAATTGGCACTGCCATATAAAGTTAGTACAATGATATACACAGTTTTCTGTGGCAATAATAGGCTTCTTTCACTGGAGAAAGAGGAAAAATACTTTTCTCTGCTTTGCTAGAGCTCCAGAAGGTAAGTGAATATATGTTGTAATTTCCTAGGGAATATCGCTATAATAAGTTATCCAACAGCTTTTCTACAGAGACTATAGGTGCTTAGAGAAAACCAAACTGGAACTAAATAACATTTTTAGTCCATTTATGAATGTGTACACAGTTCCTATTTCAACTATAAAACAAAATCATTAATTTTGAGTAAATGCAGTTAATCTGTTTGGGTTGCTATAATAGAAAAAGCATTTATTAAAAAAAAAAAAAGCGTAGCAATACTGAGAAGTCTTGGCTTGTGCCAAGCTTAAGTGTTCCTGCCTGACATCCTTCTCAAGACAGAAAAGCACTGGGTAATCACTTAGTATGATTCAGTTTAGCCACCACACATCTTCAGCCTGTTCTTCAACATTTTTCAGTTATTCTAGGCATTCATCATTGTACACAGCAATTTACTCAATGGCACAAGTCCTAGATCTCCTTAGTATATCAAGGTAGACTTTTTCTGTGGCCCTGCAGGACCAATTACTATGAACTTGCTTACATGCCTACCTGTTGCTGTACATCTTTGGGGAAATCTGCATCTCTGCTTTATTTCACAGCCATAACCCCTTACTGGGCTGCTGCCAATAGCAATATGAACAAAATCTGGGCAGGGAAGTGTCACTGTACAGCCACCTACATTATCAGTACAGGAGTGATCCACAGTGAGGTAATTGTGCCTTAAGCTTGGGATCCACTGTCAAAATCCAGATTTGCAGCAAAAGTCTTGCGGTATTGGTTTTCACACACAAAGAATCACACATAATGGTTGAGGTTGAAAGGGGCCTCTAGAGATCATCCTAGTCCAACCCCCTTGTTCAAGCAGGGACATCTAGAGCACATGGCACAGGGTGGCATCCAGGCAGGTTTGGAAGATCTCCAGAGAAGGAGACTCCACAACCTCTCTGGGCAGTTCCAGGGCTCTGTCACCCTCACAGGAAAGAAGTTCTTCCTCATATGGAGATGGAACTTCCTGTGTTTCAAATTGTACACACTACCCCTTGTCCTGTCTCTGGCCACCACTGTGAAGAGTTGGGCCCCCTTGACATAGATAGGGATGGTCTCTAGAAAGAGCTGTTCCATCACCTCTCCAGGGATGGAGGTGAGGCTGACCGGCTTGTTATGGGTCTGAGGCTGGGGCTGGTTCAGGGCAGGTAGTAGCCCCGGGCCTTGGCACAGGCTTCAACCATCACGGCCCAGCTGAGCCCACAGGCAGCCCTGAGTCCTGACACGGCAGTGGCAGCGCCAGCCTATGGCCTCCTGATGGGAAGGGCAAAATCAAATTTCTAGGGCTAGAGATTCACTCGCTAGTAGAAATTCTAGTATCATGCACTTCTGTAGTTAACTCTGACTTACTACGGTAACTATAACTAACCCACACAAGTAGTGAAAATGAGAGGGCAAAAAAACCTTTGATCACTGAGATAAATAATATGTAGTATTTATGATATTCATATTTGAGAGTTTTTTTTCTTGGCTTTTATTTATTTTTGAATTTATTGTAGAGCCACATTGTAGCTTTGCAGAAAATGAAAATGACTAATCAATCTATGTTTCAGAGTTTTTTGATAGCGTGTTCACTATCTTGGTGTTGTTAAATATTAATGCAAGATCATAGTCATTAAAATCTAATGTGGTGGTTGTGTTCTTCTCTTGTATATGTGTAGAAGTGTTTTAATCACTTAGAAATCAATGGTCTGGGTAAGACAGACAGGAAAAGATATTTGACTGTGTTGAAGCCCCTTTTTACAGACTGGCTAGGAGATGAAATGGTTGCACATTTTAAACATCTTGTATCGTAGAGACTCTTATAAAACATCAGAGCTAAGAATAAGTGCAGTCAGTTGCAGAACTCCAAAGTCCACACAACTGCACTTAGCATTTTTCAGATCTAATACACACGATGCAATCTGTATCTTCCTTGTAGATATTAGCACTGCATGTATATGGCAGTGATGAGAGAGGAAACTATTACAGGCTCATGCTGTTAAATTAACAGAAAATATGCCAAATTGTTTAAAGACTTGTTTGGTTTAGATTTTGCAATGTAAAAATGACCCATTTTTGTTGATAAGTAGACTTTTCTATACAGTGCAAATCTAAATAATTTCAATAATTGCTATTACTTATATGCTTATTTAAATAAATTTTGTCCTTTCTTGCAGACTTTCCGTATATGATGTTATGTATTAATGTTGTTTGTAAGCATGCAGTTATAACTTGAAGTAGATTATTAGAAATTATGTCTATAAGCAATTTATTGATCTAGATCCTGACACATACATGTGGATTATGGGCAATAAATCATTGATTCTTGGGTGGTTTAGTCCCTAAATAAATCAAATCTTAATGCACAATAAGAATATAGATTTATGTTAAGAGAACTCATATTCATATTTGTATTCAGGTATGTGAATAGCAAACATTTAGGTAGCAAAACCTGCTTTGGCACTATAAGTCTGTAGTGGAGTACTGTAGATAATATCTATGAGTAGCTGTATATGTTACCTTTACTTTATGTCATCCATAATGTTATTTTCTAATTTTATTTTAAACTGAGGAAAAATTAACAGCTACTCTATATTTGAGAATGTGGTGTATATTTAATAGCTCAACTTAGGAAGCTGCTCACACTGAACTGACAAGATTAAGCTTTATGATGTTTTCTGAGCAAGCATATAAATTTAAGAGTATATCTATCTAGCCAATGAGAGCTTAATGTATCTGTTGTTGTAGATGAAACATATTAAATTGAAAGGCAAAGGGCATTTCAGTCTCAGGGCTTTTTTAATTTCTTCAAACACCTACATTTTGAAAAATATGATACTGCTAATGAGCTTGACAGGCCTCAGGTGTTATGAAAAATAGTTCTTAGGGGACAGGAAGACATAAAGTTGACTCAAAATAAGTTTGGAAGCATGGACATTCCTGCATGAAGCCAGTGGAAAAGAAAGAATTCTTTGTTTGAATACCTATAAAAATAATAAATCTGACTCAATCGGTGGTTTCTTTGTCTAATGATTTAACTATTTTTATTTTATTTTTAATAGTACTTAGATTTTTTACAGAGTAAAAGCCTTTTAATCTTATTCAAGATTTCTTTATAAGAAAAGATCTAGGAAAGCCTCTCTAAACACAGTCCACAGTACATTTTCACACAACACCAGTTTCTCCTTATAAAGAAACTTCCTTTAGCATAGGTTTCTCATAGAAGAAGAAAAAGAAAAATCTCCTCATTCTATAAGCACTGAAGATACTCCAGGTCTCTCAGAGGTGTAAGAAAATCCACAGATTACCTTGAGAGAAACCAAAGCAGGGCTTTTCATTGAGTTAAAATCTAGGAGCTGTTAATTTTATAAACATCCTTCCCATGGCAAGGGAAGGATAGGAACTTCCCTTTCCAGGTTCCCATGACATTTTGCACTTTTCCATCTCTATTGTGTACATAAAGTTCTTTTGTATTTCAAGTGTTCTTTCACCAGGGAGAGTTGCAGGCAAAATTATAACCTAACTGAACAGAGAACAAAGTGTACCAGTCGTGGTTATGGTTATAACTTCCTTAATGCGTAAATTTTACTGCAAAAAGCTGTAGAGAAATGACTTTCAATAGATCTCCCATCATGTTTGTCTTTTATAGAATCATTTTGTATTCACTATTGTATATAGGCTCTTTTTCCTACTGATTTGAAATTATACATTTGAAAATCTGGTGAAGATATAAAAATACTTGTGGAAAATAAATTATTTCCACAAGTCTGACATAAAATTGCAGGAATAACAAGCAAGAACTAAAGCACACAGCCACATGAACATTCACTTCTGTTAAAAATAAGAAAAAAACCCTTTCTGCCAGATTGACAAATTCAGTAGGAAATATTGCTATAATCAAGGCTTCTTTACGGTGTTCTTTTCACCCTCTAGATAACATCTCTATCTATGGATCAAGACGGCATAGGTTTATCAGTTGTTTCTTCTGTTAAATCTATGATAGAAGATTTCTGAACATGATAAGGAGAGAATCAAGCAAAGTACAAGAGAATTTTGAAAGTTTATAAGGTGTTTGTGGACTAGGTGATGATCTAGATGTTTTTAACTTTCACATGTATTTCTTTTTTTAAATGTTTAAAAAATAATTGCAAGAAGAGGAAGCTTGAGAAAGTCTTCTCTGTTCTTACACAATTTATTTACTATCCTATGTAGAAAAAAATGTTGAATGCAATTTCTTTAAAAAAGTAAAGATTTTTTTTTTCAGTTGCAGGTGTAAATTACAGCCTATATTTCTAATGGTAAAGCTCTATCACTTGGCTTGTTTGTCCCATCTAAGCAGCTATGATTTTCACATCTAAACAGCTATGATTTTTATTATCATGCAATTTCATTTGATTATTGCAAGCAATATATATGAAACGAAGTTCTTTAGTGTACAATTAAAAGGAAAGAAAAAGAAAAAAGATTGAAAAAAAATGCAATCCATTTGTGGCTATTTCAAAATAAAAATATTGCTAACACAATTTAGACATTATTGACCTTGGTCATTGCTATGCTATATATTGAAAATGGATTTTTTAATTTGCTCTTTTCAACAACAGATGCATATGTCCCCTTGGTTACACTGGCACATTTTGTGAACTTGATATAGACAATTGCATTGGAAACCAGTGTTCTGAGTATGGTGCCTGCCAGGACCACTTGAGTAATTACAGCTGTCACTGTATGCTCGGATATGAAGGACCATTCTGTGAAGTCGAAATTAATGAATGCTCCAGTTTTCCATGCAAAAATGGAGCCACCTGTGTGAATTTAATTGGCCATTTCTCATGTCATTGTGCTGCAGGGTTCAAAGGTAAGTTTTACCTTTTGAATTGTATTATATTACATATGTGATTGTCCAATTTTAAGTCAGCAATTTTATATGATCCTTTCAGAGGAATTATGTGTGCATATATGTGTGTGTGTGTGTGTGTGTATGTATAATATGTATATGTGCATGTTTGTTTGATTTACAATAAGACTTTTAACTGAATGAGCATGGAAGTTCTTAAATATGTTTTATAGTTATTCCTCACTTGACCTTCTACTTTCTCAGCAATTCTGAGCAGGGCTTTTGATATTCTTCATTTGAAAAAAAGAAAAAAAAAAAAGGCCAAAACCACAACAGAAGTATTTCAGTTTCACTCTTATGCAATACTGAATATCATGGACTTAAGTTAGTTTAGTCAGGCTATCTTGAAGCTTAAAGACATTGTTCATATATCAAACTTGGCAACAAATATTTTTAATTGAATAACGTGTTTTAAGCAACATAAAATGCATATAAAACATATGAAACATTATATATATACACAGAAGGTGAATAATTTTATTCTGTTTCAAATTTCTGAATTTGAAACACAGCTAAAAGCAAAGTTGATGGTAGATGTTGAATATTCTTAATTCTTAATTAGACCATAATTATATGCTTCTTTTAGAAGCTTCCCATGTTCCTGTTCTTAATAGCATTAATTTTCCACTCAGAGCTCGTCATTTGCTCCCTTTCATCCATTGCTTTGCAGTTGGAAACAGCTTTCAGTGATGTGCTACTTACATCAGTTATAACACATCCTGGTTTGTTCTTATTACTGTAGACTACATCGTACATTTATCAGTTACAGCAAGTTGAACTAGGACGTAATTAGCAATAAAGTATCTGCATATTCCTTTGAAGCAGGTCTTAAAAATTTTATCAAACTTTTTAACTGACAGAACACAGGGTTGTCCTTGGGATGACCTAGCTGCAATGAAGATAGAACACATAAGTGTATGATCACTAGCAAAGAGAAAACAAAGAACACTTGGCTCAAGGGTTCAGAATTCAAGTTAATATATTTTCCTTACAGTGCTGAAACTTAAACACTGATTTGGTACTTTGCCACAACATGAGGACTTGCTTACACAAACGATGTGTAACTGGGGAAGTTTTATTTCACTGGACAATAAACTAGTGAGGTATCATATTATAACATTCCCTCGAAACAAATTAAAAGTAAAAAGTAATTTCACAACACATTATTGCAAGTATCAAATGTACTTAGTCCTGTATTTTCAGAGAGTAAGAAAAAAAATAATAGAAATATGTTGGGACTAACAAAAAAATAAGTTACCACTATGCTAGTTATTCTGTTTTGGTGTGATCTCTAGTGTTTTATGATTCTGGGATATATTCCAAGACAGAACAGATTCAGTTCAATCATAACTGCACAATTAATCAATGAAGAGTAACTCAGTGTAATTTTAGGTAGGCACTCTTGGTTTTGTTGTATCACTTATTTCAACCTTTACATATTCACATGTATTTCATCTTTTTAGTAAGTACTAAACTCACTTTAGGACGAAATATCAAAGGTGACAGTAAAATTAACTTAGGAATAAAACCAAAGTTGCCGTTTCTCAGGACTCTGTAAGTCTTTGAGGAACTTTCATTTTGTGACTCATAGTCTGCAAGTAAGCCATGAGTTCCCAGCCACCAACTTGTTTTGTCTCTTGCTAATAAATGAATCCCTGGGTACTCTTTGAAATTGCATTACAGTCAGAATTTATTTTGGGAGCAAATTTCTACGTAGACAGCTTATAGCTATCTCCTCTGTCTAGAAGATTGATTTGATCTGATGTCTATCAGCATTTCTCACATGCTTTTACATTCTGTTAGCTAGGGAACCCTTAGGCACTGCAAAGGGATTTGTCAACATGAGCAGTGTGATCATCTTTGCAGAAAACAAGTTAATAAAAATCCAAACCTTGGACATCTTCATATTAGAAGTAAATATTTTGTAGCTTTATATATCACAGTCTTTTCAAAAGCTTTTGTCTGAAAAAAAGATACCTTTGAATTTTTAACTATAGTTGTGATGGAGAGCCTCGTTTGGAGATATTTTGTAATGTCAAGAGTACTTTCCACTGCCTGCAATAGAGTTTGGCCTATGCTGGCCCTAAAAGTTTGCAGTGTGACCAGCAAAGACTAAGAAATGTGTTTTTTTTTTTTTTTTTTTTTAATCTATTCCATTATTTTGATCCTATAACATTCCTCTATAATACCTTCTCTGGCCCAATCGTTCTTCTCACTTTCAAACACATATCCAGGCCATCCATCTCTTGGCTCCATCTCAGAAAATCAGTGTTTAGCATCAAACAATTCCGAGTTTTGTGATTCATGAATTATATTTCTAAACAGATATGATATCTTTCATGGTTAAGAAGTTATTCTTGGGAGTATTTGAAAAAAGGTTGTGTGTGTCCAAACACATCCTTCGTTCAAACTCCTGTTTGTTTAAATGCTTGAAAAAATATGAAGGAAGTTGCTGAGCACTCTCAGTAGATAAGCAATATTGCCGCATTGTGTTCTCTTATGGGTTTGTGTCCATATTATATTGATTGTCTGTAAAATTAAGCCTTGAAAAATCTTTTACTTCTGAAACTGTACCGTATCTCACATAACAGAATATTGATTCATCATAGCTTTATAAATGAATAAGAGTATTAAGATTTATCACCAGTGCATGAGTACCTTCCAGTAGTTTTTTAAGTTATCTAATTAATATATTTTATAAACACTGTTCTTCACTTTTCTGTTTTTATCCAAAATGAGAAAATAGTATATGGACATTTGAAATATCACTATATTATTTTAAATGTTTGTGCTTTTTTTTTTTATTCCACAAACACATCTGTAGAATTCACCTACCACTTGAAATATATCTGATGAAGCAACTAAGTGTCTGTGCATTCAATAAGTAATTAATTCTGTTAATATTTTTGAGAGCTATTTTAATAGTTTCACACTGCTGTAATGGAGACCCACTCTATAACAACGCCAACATTGTTTCTCACAGATATTTCATATAGTACCATGGTCATGTACTATTTCATATAGTACCATGGTCATGTACTATTTCATATAGTACATGGACATTTTAAGGACCTGAAAGAGTAGTGGATCCTATTTGAAATAAAAGCACTCACTTGTATTGAGAAATAACACTGGTGACAGTTGCCAACTGGCAGGTTTAAATACTGCAGCAGAACAAAGATATCTAGACACAATGTTTATCAGGAAGTGATGCTTCAACAGTCCTCTGGCCATCCTTTGGCAAAGTGTATTAAAAATGTTTCTACTGCATAAAGGAAGGCAGTTCAGTGGTTTTGTGCACGTATCTCCTCTGTGTTTGAAATATCTGCTTCTGCTTCCCTTTATACAGATCTTGCAGTGGGGCAGTAAGCCTGTAAGAGCAGCTCTTGTTCTCTCCCACATCTCTGCAATGACATGAGATGGGGCTGGGCTGTGTGAGCAAGCAATTTCAATTCATTGTAAGGCCTCACCCAAACTGTCTTGCCTTTTTCTAACTTAATTTTCTTTAGAATAGAAATGTTACTCAAGCTAACAAACACCTTTCTTATCTAATATCATAATTTATATTCATTAGAAGATAACAACATTTCAACATTTGTTCTCTGGCGTATTACTTCAGTGCTTTATGTTTACATATACATTACAGAATGATCGACTGTACGGCAGAATTATAGCACCATCTTCAAATCTATTGTCTCTATTTGGTATCTGGTTGTACAGGGATTCTAGTAAAAAAATCCCATATTTTTACATATACATATTTTTAAAATTATGTCCATTCTCTCTGGAATTTTATTGTCCAATTTTATGTCCTCAATGCATATAAAATTACTGATATAAATGGTATGGAAATTAGAAGTTTTTTATTTTTTCCATGTGATTACTTAACAGAGATGGTAAAAGTAAGGGTGACAATTTAAAAATTTATGTAATTAAAATATGAATATTTACACCTAAACTGTATTACATTGAGAAAATAGACTTTCTAAATACTCCCTCTTTTATTCTAACTTCTGATTTCTAATATGAAAATGATATGACACCTCATTCTGATATCAAAAAAAAGATGAGTCTTTGGGACATTTTATAAAACCTAATACTAGTTGCATTAGTTCAGATAATGTGTGATGTTAAGCTCTTTTGTCTACAGAAACAAAATATCGAATTCTTGAGCGACTGAAAGTTGCAAGCTTCTAACCTCAGGATATTACAGAGCTGATGATATTTCTGAAATGAAGGTATATTCAGTGAGGTTTCACCCATTATACTTATTAAAAGTAATGTTTCTGTGCAATGATCTCCAGTTACAGTTAGCTGAGAAGTTGCGAATGTCTTATTTTCGTGCACAGAATCACAAAATGGTTGAGGTTGGAAGGGGCCTCTAGAGATCATCTAGCCCAACCCCCTTGTTCAAGCAGGGACACCTACAGCATGTGGCATGGGGGGGCATCCAGGCGGGTTTTGAAGATCTCCAGAGAAGGAGACTCCACAACCTCTCTGGGCAGCCTCTTCCAGCACTCTTGTCACCCTCACAGGAAAGAAGTTCTTCCTCACATGGAGATGGAACTTCCTGTGTTTCACTTTGTACGTATTACCCTTTGTCCTGTCTCTAGCCACCACCGAGAAGAGTTTGGCCCCATCCTCCCTACATTTTCTCCTCATGTACTTACACATATTGATCAGATCTCCTCTCAGTCTTCTCTTCTTCAGGCTAAACTTTCCTCATAAGATAGATGCTCCAGTCCCTTAATCATCTTGGTCACTCTGCACTGGACCCTCTCTAGAAGTTCCACATCCCTATTATAGTGGGGAGCCCAGAAATTGTTTCTTAAAATTCTATTTCTTAAAATAGAATGAATTATTTAAACATATACAGTTACGTCACCTAATGCTGATGGAGCATTGGAGGGGATTTTTTAGCACGTATTCCTACTGAAGGCCCTTACTGTATTTCTCTTTGC